AGTCAAACCAAAATTAAAGTTAATCTACTTTGGTGGAAATAAACATTAATCGGAGCAGGTATTCGGAGTGCAGTCGTCCCTTTGTCTCCCTCGTCGATTCGCGCGTTTGACCAACGTAGTCGCCGCACCGCCGCCTGGAGAACGTCGGGAAAAGGAAGATGTCCGCCGCCGCGATGCACGTACCGCGCGACACGCACATGGCAGAGACGATCGCGGACCACGCGGACGATTCCGCCGGATGGCGGAAGCCCGACAGGATGAACTCGACCATACTGGACAATTTTAACAAACTGAAGGACGGCAACGACTCCGTGAGGCTGAACGCCGGAGTCGCGCTGCTAAATTATCTGCGCCAACATAACGCGGTATATTAATACGTTAACCTCATTGTGCTACTTAAATTATATATAAAAAAAAAAAGATCTAATTTGTATGAGATATTCCTGACCGATTCTCACGTCGCACCATTGATCTGTCCTTGCAGGATCAGGATGACAAGGAGTTGAATTACGCGCTGGTTAGACTGGTGCGCAGTCTGGGCTCCTCGATGACGGTCACGAGAAGGGGGTTCTACAGCACCCTGACAGTCTACCTGATGATGCATCCCGACACACCGGTGGAGAAACTTCTGTCTATAATGAATTCCCAGTTGCACCCGGCTGGCAGTAATCCTAAGAGCGTAAGACCTACAATACTGTGTTTGTTTTGTTTGATTTGAAAGAAAAAATGATATTTTTAATATAATACTTGAATTTTTATTTCCATAGGAGAACGCCGATGTATACATGGGACGTATACTGCTGTGTGGCGCGTTGATAAGGTCCAAGTTACTTGCTCGCAACAGCGTCGAGATACAACAGCAGATTACAGAAATTCTGGTGAATGCTGGCAAACAGCGCAGCTATCTGTCATTTATCTCTGTTATGTTTCTCAGCGAGCTTATCGGTCAGTTTGATACTGAATCTATGAAGAATGTCTGGCCAATTGTCGAGAAGGAAATTGGCAAGCCATGGTCCGAACAAACTTTAGATACGTTTTATGTGCTGCTTATTGTTAGAGATAAGCATCCGTCGCTGGTTAATCATAAATTTTTAAAAGAACACTTGGGTGTGAAGGAGATTATTACCAAGGAGTCTATGGAAGATATTGTTAAACTATTGACGGTACGTCATTTTTAATGGGGTTTTAATAATCATCTTTCTATTGTAGATTTCCATCCATTGTAGCTTTTATGACAATATTACTCAATTACTTTGGGATTTGTTTTTTGCTTTTGCTTTTATCATAGTGAAATAATGTACAATCAAAATTGCTTATATATGGAGAGGCAATCAAATCTGGGTCTTTTACCTGACAAGTATCTGCTCTAAGCATCTCCGAATAATCTTTAATAAGAATAAGAATGTATATTTGAGTTATGTATTTCCGCACAGTATAATTTTTTTTGTTATTAGGCTTTACCTAGAATTATTTCTTACCATCATCCAGTGTTCAAGCTGTTTTGTGAAAAGCTAGTAGCGACCGAGCTTGTGGCAGACTTCTGGAAAGGCATCGATCAGAGATTTCTAAAACCATCGAAGAGTGATGAATATATCGCTGTGGAAATTTTACGACTAATTCTTGTTAACGTTACGGATAAAACTATAATTCCAACATTATTATCGCCGAATCTTCTACAACACATGTTAAAAAGATTTTCTAACTGCAAGAGGAATAATAACGATGAAGTTTTGGTAGCATTCAGAAAAGTTTTACACTTGATAGTGTCTGCTACGAATGACAATGACATGAAGACGAAAGTACAGCTGAGTATATTGAAGAAGCTTATATTGCATCCTGGTGACTTGATGATAGAAAAGAAGACGGGTGTCAAGGTGACCCAAATAATTACGGGAAATCTGAAGTTAGATGGTATCAAGAAATTGTGCCAATTGTATAGAAATATTATAGAGAATAGGGCAACTAAAGATAGAGAAGGTACAAAGGCGGAATTGTGGACAAACGCTGAGCGAAGTTACTCAGCGCAACTGTTAACAAGGTTAGTATAATTGGCCCACAAATATATGATAATATTTATTATCAATAGATTTTTGAAATAATTTAATATCTAATATTAAACGTGCATTCTTCCGTTAGATTAATAGGTCGTCAAGAGACGTTCTCAGATCAAGACTGGAGACTTGAGCAACTGACGTTCCTGTTCTACTATGGATTGTGTGAAGTGTCGAATGTTGGTGCAGAACTAGCGCGTAAGTATATTATATATGTATATATAATTTTTTTTTAATTATAAGCCGAAATAAATTTAATTCTTGTTTTCAGAACAATTTAAAGATTGTTTTTATCGTGCCCTGGATCATAAATTACCAAAATTGGATAATGCACGAAATCTGTTAAGCGCACTCGTTCATGATAGAGATTCGAAATTGCGATTAAACGTGATACAATTAAGATCGCCATTAAACGACGCAGCATTTGATGCTTGGGACAAAGTGATAAACTTGATTGAAAAACTGGAGAAAAACACAAAAAATTCGGAAGCCTTGCCGATATTTCATACAATGAATTTACACATGGGTCTACAATTGTTCTCAGATCCTGAAATGGCAATTATGTCGATTAATGAACTTCAGTGTTGTTACGAGAGATTAAATAAAAAGTCCAAGGGACATAAAAGGCTTGAAAATACAACTACGGAAGAGGAACCAGAATGGGTCGAAGTAGTAGTGGATCTTTTGTTATCTCTTTTGTCGAAGAACGATCATTTATTCCGTTCATTAGTTGGCTGTGTGTTTCCACATATCTGTCCGTATCTGACTCCATCTGCAGTTCATCAGATATTGGCCGTAAGCTTTTATTTATATAATTTTTATAATATTAGTTCTTTATTTAACTGAAAAGGAAAATTATTAATTTATTAATTCTGTTCAGCATGGAAAAATTCATAAGTTACAGTATATTTGTTATATTTTATTTCAGGTATTAGATATAAAAAATACTCAAAAGACACTTACCACAAAGCAAAATGACGATGAAGATTCCTCAGGTATAGAAAGCGAATCGGAGGAGGGCGAGGATGAGGAGGAGGAGGAGGAGGAAGAGGAGGAAAGTATTTCAAACGATGAGATTTTATCGAAGAGTGAATCTGAGTCTGACGCAAGTGAGGACAAGGATGAGGATGAAGATGAAGATGAGACAGTGACCGATAAATTGAGACTGGCGCTACATCAGGCTCTGGGTGACGCCGCAATGCAAACCGACGACGAAGACATCGACGTAGATCAAATAGACGAGGAAGAGGGCAAGCGGTTGGATGAATCATTAGCAGCGGCGTTTAAGATTCTCCGGGAGAACCGTCAAGCTCGTTCTAAGAAGCAAGGAAAAACGAGCCAGGCATTGATGCATTTCAGAGCTCGCGTTATAGATTTGTTATCTATTTATTTAGATATTTGCCCGTCTATGGCGGTCACTCTAGATATGATCGTGCCGCTCTTCGCTCTGCTAGAATTCTGTATAAAGGATCCGCATCAGGATCCGCTCGCGCATAGAATTCGGGCTTGCTTAAAAAAATTGTCAACGGTGAAAAAGTTTAAAGATACAACGGGAGTTGACGATGCTTTGCTAATGACAGTGTTAAAGGTAATTATTTGTAGCGATTAAGTGCAAGTCGCTGATTAAATGCTGATTGAACGATACATGATATATCTCTTTTAAGGCTTTGATCGAAAAAGGAGAGCGTTCTGCTTCGGTCTGTCAAGAACTCAACGATAAATTGGCAGAATGCTGCACTTTCCTCGTAAGGTGCGCGCAACAAGCTAACTTGTCTACTAAGAGCGTTGTAGAAATTTATGGTCAAAATTTAACTGCGTTCTTTAAGAAGAGAGATTGTGTGCTTTCGTCCATGTTGTTTAAGGGTGTATTACAGTTGTGTTGGGAGGATAATTGGCAGCTGGCACCTCTGCTGGTATGTATTAAAATGAATGTATCTTTTAATGTTTCCTAATATATAAAATAGAGCTCGTCTTACAAAATGTCATCTAATTGTTTAGGTGGACTTTGCTTTTGACAGCAGTATTCGATACTTCCGTAGGAATCAAGCGCTGGAGCTGTTATTAATTTTCTACAACAATAATCGACTGCTGAACATGGATACGAAATATGCCGACGTGAGAATGAAATTGGAAACGACGCTTTGTAAAAACACCATAGACACACTCAAAGAGACATGTGATCTACGTGTGAACGATAACGGACAATCTGCTTCGTGCAATAATGCTAGCGCACGGAAAAAAGTTATGCAGAAATTTATCGGGCATCTTCTGATGCTGTTGCGCGTCGTTTATGGACGTCATTTGCCACAAGCATGGGATTGGCAAGCCGTTAAAGCGGCGTTAATAAAATACAGAAGTCAAAACGCTCTTTCCGGAGATGCGAAAACTGCCTATAAGAAGCTGGCAGCAGAGATTGGAGTACCTCTCAATATGTAAGTATAATAACAAATATCCGATTCTCTGAAATTTTCTTGTTTGTATCACATATACACGCTTCTTTATTTAACTTCTGGGATTTTTTTTGTACTTGATTTAATTCGTATCGTCAGGCCATCAACGAAGGGCGATACCAAGCTGAATAGTAATACTGTTACTACACAAAGTAACGGCAAACAAAGCAACGTCGTACCTCAAAACGGAAAAGCAAGTGATTCGGAAGAGGAGGAAGAACAAGAAGAGGCGCAAAGTAATAATGATCAGAGGAAAAAGAGAAAGAATAAGAGTAGACAGAGGGACAAGCGATTACTGAAGAAAGAGGCGCGTGAGTTACGCGCGAAAGTTATGTCTCAAGATATAGAGCTGTTTAAATTTAGCAGTGTCAGTTTACCGGCGAACGAAGACGCGACGGAAGTTTGTCAAAACGGGAGTTCACACGACAAGTCTACCCGACAGAGCTCGACAACGCCACGGAAGAGGGAACGGGCGACGGAGGGCGATCGCGAGTCTAAAAGAAGAAAAAGTACCAATCGTGCTTGATACAACTTATAAACTTGCAAAAATAAAAGATGTAAAAACACATACAGCACGAAAATCGGGATGAATGTTTAGAATACGCTTGTCCTGTGTTTCAGATTTCGACGGGGTATTTTTATACGCGAAATAAGACCTGTATAAGAGTTATAATTAAATTATGTTACGAAAAACGAAATAATTAGCGATACATTGATTCTTCAAAATGTTGATTCTGTTTTCTTTATTTCTTTATTTGATTGAATAATAGAATTTAGTGTACGCGAGATCAAACTGGCTTTTCGGTCAGTTAGCGTCCAGAGATTTTACAACAACCGTCATCAAACTATTAATCTTGCCATAATTATATCTATATTATTATTTTAATTGGCTCGAACAATATTTCGACAATTTCTCGACGGATATTTCCGATTGTATCGTTAGAAAAGTTTACGCGGACAATTTTCATCAATATATGTTAAGTATATTGTACTCTGTCTTTAATTATTTATACAGATACACAATTCTTCGTTATCTCGCTAAAACAATCATAATAAATTTAAATGTCTAAGCGTATCCTAAACACTCGTCGGAATATTTTTTACTCAAATGCTCTCGTTTTGTACAATGTATAATAACGTTTTGTATATTATAAATAACTCCCATGTATATTATAAATAACTCTGTGTACAAAGAATGTACATATAAATCTTGATACGCGTGAATCTCTTGAAATTATATACGTCGTCAGTTACGTCAATTAACGTCAGTTAGCGAGTTCTTTTATGTAACGAACGGCCGTTTAATGCTACACGTGTAAAGAAACTAAGAGAAACAACACGGCCGTCGGAATGTTACTAGTCTATTGTCAAGCCGAAGTGGAGCACGCGCGCTCGGCTCCGGCCAAACCACTAGACCTTCGTGTTTCTGCGGAGGAGCGAGGGAGAAGAGCCGGAACTGCCGGAAGAGCGTCGAGGTCGAGTCGAGTTGTCGGATGCGGATCAGTCTTCTGCCGCCGACCCGAGGGAACGTCTCGCCGACGACATGCTGCGCTTGCTGAAGAGATTTCAACATCTGCGACGATGCTACTCGTCCGCGGCTCTGCCGGCGCCGGACACGAGCCCGCCGATTCTGTACACGGGCGTAAGTTGCGAACGGGAGTAAAATCTATCGCGAGATATGCACGGGTATGGCGACTGCGTTTCGCGAGAGGCGGCGAGTCCAGGGGGTTAAAAAAGAAAAGAGGAGGCTGAGATCGAGATGCCACACACGGCTCTCGCAGATGGGACCGCTTGTAAAAGCGGAATAGACACGGAATATTTTCGGAGGTTTATTAATGGACCTTTTTTTCCTAAAAAAAATTTGCGCGTCTCGGCGGTTGGACAGTGCGATATATTTATATGTAGATTATGTATTTATACGATGACCCCGTAATAGTCCAAGAGCGGTATTTCAAGTTCATGGCGAGCAAATTTTTCGCAAAGGCGTTTTTCGACACGCGATCCACGTCGTCAGGGTCGTCGTGTCAGCGCGTGTTTAGTAGAAATGCGGGCGGAGAGTTGGCCAACGATTTTAACGATCGAATAATGCAAGGTAACTTGAGCAAAATGCGACGCGCGCTGATACCAATTGACGACAGGAAATTGCGGATCCGGTATCGATAATTGTACTGTTATGTTTCTGTGACAGTCATGATAGATTTGCGATTTTAGGAAAATAGAGGTTTTGTGAGCGTGAGCTTCAACAGGCTTGAAATCGCGGGCGCCGATTCGCGGCAATTTCAGCTCGAAATCCGCGAACCGGTTTGTTTGCTTTATCGGCATTATAGTCATTTCTGCAAATATGTAGATTAAGTTTAATCTCGGTTTAACTTACTTCTTATCTTTTAGAAAAAGATAAAAAGTATTTACTATATAAGTTCTAGAGATTTGAAGTATAATCTCAGTTGATCTACATTGATAGAAGTAAAAGAATGACGTCGAATGACGATTAAATTCCGATTAACGGCTAATCTGGCAATTAATATGTCGAGTCATGTACTATTGCGTTAACATTTGAATGGAATTATTAATGTTTCGTTGTTTAATATGTAAGAAGGAAAATTAAATTATAAGGAATAACGAGTTACATTTAGTTCGAAATTTTGCTTTAAACTGATTAAATTCACTGTCAGTTAAGTTAAACAGAACTTGGTTGGACACCTTTTTAATCTGCTCAAAGAAGATTCTCCTCTTTTTAGCATTTGTAAACCGCTAATTTGTTGTATTATTATATAAATAATAACAGTTAAAGAAGACTTGAGATATAATTCGCGTTACATTTTAGAATAAATCTCTTTTTAATTTAATTTATATAACTCCATTTTTCTATTTGTTATTTAACTCAATTTATAACTATTTTTTAAATATTTTATTGCTTAATTTATAATTTTGTATTTTCTGTCTTTTTCTATTTATAATTTAATTTAACGTATCAGTTTTCATTTTTTGTATTCTGCTTTCATTTATAATTAAATTTAACTCATATTTTTCTATTTTCTCCTATTTATAATTTAATTTTATTTACATTTTGTATTTATCGTGCATAAGTACTTTTTATGCGCGCGTATATACATTTCTAACAATAAATTTACCTGTGTTGCTACGCACGATTCTATATACCTAAAGACGTCATAAAGCTTGAAAAATGCCATAAATTAAGGTCCGTAAAATTAAAGAGGTTTTTGTTTGTGATCATTTACGCTTTGATTTACGACGCGAGGACATCGATATCTAAAACGATTTTTTTTTGGCCGTTTGTTTCTCACTGGATTATTCATATTAAAAAATGAAAGAAGAAAAAAGATAATGCTGCATTCATTATTGCGTAAGAATACGCTACGAGTGAATGACTCGGCCAATTAAAATGGATAAATATACCTCTTCAAGGTGCATAGTGTTTTTTTTCCTTGTTTATTTTCTAATTCAACGCATTCGGATTTATTTCAGGCCTGAACTTTAAACATTTCCATCTTTTGATTTATGGCTTCGTGTGTCGCTAGTATGAAAAAATTGCGGAGAATTTACATATCAAACATATTGAAATATGGCTCACAATCAGTCCTTGATATTGACGACGGTATTATGTATTGTTATCTAATCGTATGCTTTGTTGCATAGTGATGAGCGTAATATTTCCCGGCGACTCGGCGATGAATCAACGAGAATCAACAAAGGGATTTAACGAGCGATCGATGAATTTTTAACGGATTTCACTCTCATTTAGTTTAATAAGTAAAGGAAGATATATGCCATATGCCATATATATGAAAATCAAGCGTTCACAGTTTTTTATGCAACAGATTCAACTCGAGAGAAACAGCTTATCGAAGACTCGAGCTTCTCTCGCTTTATCTTGTAACAAGAGACTGTTATTCCGTACGCTATCAAAATGTAAAGATTGGGAAATGCTTGATCTACACTGGACTGTGTTCAATTAACTTTTGAAACGGCGCGGATACCGCCATTTCAGAGTCAACTCAAGTTTGCATAAATTAAAGTATTAATACGGAATTACATGATTCATGATAATATCCTCTAAAGCAAACCGAAGCAATAACAAGTATTAAATAAGCGACTATTTACATACACACGTTCTCGCGATACTCGCGATATTTTTACCGCGAGATCGATGTAAACCGTCGCTTATTTAATACTTGTTATTGCTTCAGTTTGCTTATATCATTCTCGCGATACGCGTGATATTTTTATCACGAGATCGATGCAAATCGTCGCTTATTTAATACTTGTTATTGCTTCAGTTTGCTTAGATTAGAAAATATTCTCACAAGAAAGAGCGAAACTGTACATAGTGCGCTTCGTAACGTACGATGTGTATGCGACACGTTTCCTATGTTATGTATAAGAAACGCACTGCGATGGGAGTACATTAATTGCATAAATGGATTTCATTTCGTTGCAGATATTCATCAATAACGAATGGCACAAATCCAAGAGCGAGAAGACATTTCCCACCGTCAATCCCGCGACCGGTGAGGTGATCGCCGAGGTGCAGGAAGGCGATAGCGTGGACGTTGATTTTGCGGTGCAGGCTGCCAATAAGGCCTTCAAAAGGAATTCACCATGGAGAACCATGGACGCCTCCCAAAGGGGAGTTCTCTTGAACAAACTGGCAGATTTGATCGAGCGCGATCATAAATACATTGCGGTATAATACGATATTGATAATTAATATTATTAATATTGATATTTAATAAAAGAATTCGGGATTATCGACATTTTAACGATAGACGATCTTTAGAGATCAAGCTAAGAATGTTTATGTCTTTTAATTTTATATATTTTTTTGTTTTAAATCGATGCGAAGAGATCGCAAAGTATTTTTTCGACCTTTGTTCGTCGATCTAATCTAAGTAACTGATAATAATGTATAGTTATAAGTTACCTATAAGTAAAATCATTATTCACGATCAATTATTCACAATGTGCATAATGTATCATTTGTTAGTTACCACGGAGTTTTTCGAAGTTACTTTTGGGTCGAAAAAATTAATGAATATTCGGCTTGTGTCCAAAGTTTTTACAATCAAGCTAATTCGTTATCTATTACATTTCAGTCCTTAGAAACTTTAGACAACGGGAAACCTTATTCGAGCGCGTACAGCGTAGACGTGCCCATGAGCGCTGGAGTGTTGAGATATTATGCGGGATGGGCCGATAAGAATCATGGAAAAGTTATCCCAGCCGACGGAAAAGTCTTCGCATATACTAGACACGAGCCAGTAGGAGTATGCGGTCAAATTATTCCCTGGAATTTTCCTTTCTTGATGATGGCATGGAAGATAGCACCAGCTTTAGCTACAGGTGACCACGGACATAAAAATTATATATATTTTACTATAAAATTTTAATCCTTTTGTGGTTCCGTCACAATTAATGAAATCTTTGGGATAAGTTCTGTAGTGCACGTAACATTGAAATTATTATTTTATTCCTTAGGAAACGTCATTATTCTGAAACCTGCTGAGCAGACTCCGTTAACGGCTCTTTATATGGCACAATTGACTAAGGAAGCTGGATTTCCTGATGGAGTGGTCAATGTCGTTCCTGGTTATGGTAAAACCGGTGCCGCGTTAGTCGCTCACGACAAGGTCGACAAGATCGCGTTTACGGGCTCTACCGAGGTCGGCCAGCTAATAAAGCAAAATGCTGCTATACACAAGTTAAAGAGAACTACGCTGGAGTTAGGTGGAAAATCTCCTAATATCATTCTTAAAGATGTCGATATAAATCAGGCGGTGGAGACAGCGCATTTTGGATTATTTTTTAACATGGTAAATTACTTTGACGTTTGATCATTTACGCACGGGTGACTCCTCTTCATTCTTTCTCTAATTTTCTGTTTCGCTCATTTTCAAATTAAATTTCCGCCAGGGCCAATGCTGTTGTGCAGGCTCAAGAACCTTCGTTCAATCGAACATCTACGATGAATTCGTCGAAAAAAGTGCGCTCCGCGCTAAAACTAAGCCCGTGGGAGATCCGTTTGACTTGAAAATAGAACAAGGGCCGCAGGTATGTTCGAATTCGTACAGATTAGATTATCAATTGACACATAATTAGCATTAATATGTAATCGTGTAATTGAAATTATTGTTATGCTATTTATATCGTTGTTTAAGATTGACGAGGAGCAGTTAAACAAAATTATGCGTCTGATAGAAACTGGTAAACAACAAGGCGCTAACTTGGTAACAGGCGGCGAGCGCATTGGCGATAGAGGCTATTTCGTTGCTCCAACGGTATTTGCAGATGTTCAAGACGATATGACTATAGCCAAAGAGGAGGTAAGCATTAAGATCATATTTAACCTGTAAGATGTAACATATCTAAAAAGAATCTACGCTGTTTCTTGGCAGATCTTTGGTCCGGTTCAGCAAATCCTGAAGTTCGACGATTTGGAAGAAGTAATTGAACGCGCAAATAACACCGATTACGGATTAGCTGCTGCAGTTTTTACGAAAGACCTTAATAAAGCGAATTACATAGTGCAGGGTCTTCGCGCCGGTACCGTATGGTAAGTTGTTTGGAAATATTACAAAGAATGAAAGCTGTGAGCTCTAAAAAAAATATACAAATTAATCTCGTTGTTAATTTTTGTACAGGGTCAACACATACAATGCGATAATTCCTCAAGTGCCGTTTGGTGGATACAAAATGTCTGGACACGGCAGAGAACTTGGAGAATATGGACTTGAGGCATACACGGAAGTAAAAAGCGTAATAGTTCAACTTGAGGTGAAAAATTCATAAAAGTATATCAAGGTCGCTATCAAAAAGTCATTTTACAAGCATTTTATACCGCAAAAAGACCAAGTATGATTGTACAGGTATTTTTTATATAATTTTAAAATTTATTACAGATTTTTAATCTGTTGTATTGCAGTTAAAGTTTTTGCATTTTTCATGTATAAAAGTACTTACAGATTGTGAATACAATTCGTAATTCAGTTATGAATTACGAGCACACATAAAGCAATGTAGCAATAGCTTTTGTAACATAAGCTGCAATATGCATGTATAACAAAGAAAGCATCGCACAAAATATTTTAAATTCTTGATTATATATTCTTAAAAATATTCTATAAATATTTTTTATTATTATAAAACTTTACTTTCTAGTTTTATTTCATTTTGTTCATTTTATTCCCACTTGAGCATAATGTATGTTATACATTAAGGAAAGTTTTCTCAAGCAATTTATCACAATGCAGATCTTGCTGTTATTTGTGTGAAATTTCACGCTTCAGTAGATTTTGCAAACAAAGATAAAACAGAGATTACAAATGTGCCATGCTTCTCGCAAACCTCGCTCACACTTTGCTGAATAAGTACAACTTAAACACTTTTAAAATTAAGACAATTGTATTTTCTTATTTTTTAAGTTTATAACTTAAAGTTTATAAATAAAATATCATTAAAAATCACTGTTTTAATTTTCCTTATTAGAATGTACTTTCATAAGCGTATCCGAAGCGTTTGTTTCCAGCGGGCACATCTCGTTTTCCAGATCCTCTTCCAGATCTTTTTCGCAAAAATGAGATATGATGCTTGCACCGAACGCGTCGCCTATAATGTTGATTGTCGTTCTGAAACGGTCACTGCAAAATAATACATTTTTTATTTTACTGCGTAGCAGAAGAAGAATGTATTCATATGAATTTGAAAGAAAGATTTATATTATTCGTAAGAAATTTATCCTCTTTCATCTCTTTTAAAAGAGAAGAAAAAAAATATTTTTACGTACGTAACATAAGCGATACGTATACTTACATAAACCAGTCGACGGCGATAATCAATGTGACATCTTCAACGGGTACTCCTATAGAATTTAACACCATTATTAACATCATATAGCCACCACTGGGTATGCCGGCAGCTCCCACGCAGGATACTGTACATGTAATACTGTAGAACAGCAAACGTTGAAGTTATATAAGGAATTAAAATGTTCAGATTGTTTTAAACAATGCAAAATATATCTCGAAGAAAACGCATTGCAGTTCAATCCACGCTCACGTTTTAATCACTGACCTGATAATTATTATCCTCAACAAAGAGAACTGCAGCCCACGTAATTGTATAATAAATATCGCCCCGACAGTTTCGTACAGGGCTATCCCGTCCAGATTTATTGCTGCTCCAATCGGTATAATGAACTTTGTTATTTTGGGATTTATGCCCAGCTCTTCTAAACATCTTAATGTGTAGGGAACCGTGGCGGTGCTAGATTATTACGTTTAATTAGAATGCAAAGTTTTATCTGATTCGCACGTCGATGTTTTTTTTTTTTAATTGTACCTCGACGACGTTCCGATGGCTGTTGCAAAAGTTGGGCCAAGTTTGGATATAATTTTATACGGCGATTTACGCATGATGATCCAGTAAAGGAGGGGCAGGATTACAAAACCCTGTAGTATTAGTCCAGTAAATACTGTTAAAATGTAAAATCCGAGATGGCTCATTACATCGCCAAAATCATCTATTTCCAGTATTCGGCCAGCGATAAGAAATAACACACCTACTGGTGCCATCCTAAACAAAAAAGTATTGTTATATATATGCGCACATGTAATCCAAATATTCTATGTATATATGTTAAATATCTTTTATCATTAGATTACATCATTAAAAAATTTTATATATACAAGGGCAAACACTCAAAATAAAATTAACGGAAAACGTACAGAACGACATTGTAAATTGAAATCGTTTTTAACAATAATATAATTCTATAATATTAAGTATTTAATTAATATAATAAAGGATAATAGTAATGTAATGCACGTACAGTGTTACCCATTTCATAATTTTCATCATGATCTCGGCTAAGGAATTAAAAAAGTCTGACAGCGGCTTTCCTGTTGCGCCTATCTTTCCGATTGCTAAACCTATTACCAGACTGTAAAATACTAAGCCCAAAACATTTGTTCCTGCCACATATTCGCTCGTTATGGGCCACTCTTCTATCGGCACTGTAATAAATTGAAAATATGTTTTCACGAAGTGTGCATAATGCTAAAGTATAGTTACGTTACAATTAGCTTACATTTTCATTCTGCATGTGTACTTTCGCGAATATATAGCTGAAGCAATTCTTCAAATTTAATATTTTTTTCTTATGCTGCTCATAAGCCTGTATAAAATGAACATAAAATTAACTAAAGAAGCTGTTGTTATTTGCCGCCCCAAAGCATTATTTCAGATAAGTACTTTCCAACACCGTTCGCGTCTAAAAGATTAAAATTTTATTGAACAAGCGATTGTGAGTTTTATTTAAAAAAGAGAAAAAGGAAAGGAGCTGCAAGCGAATGAAAATATACGATGCGTTTCGTGGTACCTGACGCATTGGCTGGCTGTTCCAGAACGGTTTGATACTGTAATAAAAGAAATATGATATTTTTTAGATGTTCCAAATAGATGTTCGATTAAATTACATAAACATACCTGATACATGCATGCATGTACTAAATTATCGGGAAGGAGATTACTGCATGAAAAAAAGACATATTATGTATACGATTATACGAAGAAAAGACATCTTTTATGTACAAAGCGTTTTCAAACTCCGCTAAGAAATTATTACGTATCTTTGAAACGCACACAGATGATCTACTTTTGTCTTTCAACCATTACGTTCGCGCAGAAAGATATTAGTTTCGGTGTTGCGAGAAAGCTTCAAAAGTGCGAATTTTGTAAAGAAATTTGTAATGATGTGTACTCTAATAACATTTAATTACCGAATTAGATCTAAAATTGTGTCCACTGTCATAAAGGTTTTTGTGGACGTTGATACGACCTGAGCTCCTTCGTTTCTTATTAATTCACCCGGTCGAATATTCTCAACAAGTATGACACATAAAGTTATTCCAATCGTAGTGGTCATTAGATAATAGCACAATGCCATCAATCCAATAGGTCCTGCACAATATATATATTTCAACAAATTCTAATTATAAAAAAGTAAACTTTTCAATTTTTGTTATATTTCTTCCACAATTCTTCGTGTGAAAAATTGTGTCGCATATAAATATACATCCGATTTTGTTCTTTAATTTTGCTTTAAACAATTCAGTATGCGAAACTTTCTGCCGCATTTTGCGTTTGCATAAATTATTCAAAAGAACATAATTAATCATTAAAAAATAGCAAGAATTTAATTATGCATTAGTAGAGACGTTAAAAGACAATAAAAGTTAATAGAAGAATTAATTCGGATGATAAAGTAGGCGAAACTCAGGTTTCGCACCGCGAAATCTTGGAAATTTACTCCTGATATATCAGGCTAGCATGTTAGGCAAGGAGGTTGACGGAGGTATTCCGAGCGCGGGTCTTGCCACCCCTCATTGCCTCCTCGTAATCACGCTGCTATTGGTCAGAGCGCGAGAGCTTACTGCCCCTTCTATGCACACCTGCCAGCGCTCTGATTGGCCGTAGGCTGGGCATCCTCGTCGCGCGCCCGGCGCGCCGTTTCAATGGCGATGAGTAATAGTGGGGGTAGGCGTGCCGCTGCTCGAATATCTACTAAAACCTCCTCGCTCAACATGCTTCCCGCGTAACAGGAGCGATTTCTCAGGAATTACAGACAACCCAAACTCGAGATTCTCGCTTTCCTCATAACCTAAAATTCTTTTCATAATTTTTATGATCTTTCAAGCGCCAAACGAATGCACGATATATTCCTCGTTGGTACTTAATAATAATAATTTAATATTAATATCTATTGTTTGTTAAATTAATAACGTTTTTATTAATTACTTTTTTATATATGTCGTACTGTATGAATAACTGAAACTATATATAATTATATGAATTAATGCAGTGTTCGTGCTCGGCCGGTTCGGCGGAAAGGTTGTAGATAAGCTCTAAAATGCACTGTACGACACTGGGTCATATCTCGAGAAATATATTTATTTTAACATTGTTATGTATGCTTTAATGCGAGACTTGCTCTCTCAGATGTAATTAGACGCTAAAGAGTTTCAAAATGTTGCTGCATAATGTTAGATAACAAGAAAAAGGTAGCCGCGAATACCGACGGGCGGCGTTGGGTGACAAATTCGGAGCTCCGAAATGCCACACGTGAAACCAATTAAATCTCGAGAAATACGTTTATTTTAATATTATTATGTATTCTTTAATACAAGACACGCTCTCTCGAATGTGATTAGACGATAAATAATTATAAAATGCTGTTGCATAATGCTAGCCAAAGAGAAAAAGGAGCTGCGAATGCCGACGGGCGGCGTTGGACGACAAATTTGGAGCTCCGAAATACCACACGCGACACCAGATAAATCTCGAAAAATACGTTTATTCTAACATTGTTATGTGTCCTTTAATGCGAATTAGGCTCTCTCGAATAAGATTAAACGATAAAGAGTTATAGAAAGCTGTTGCATAATGCTATAGCTAACGAGAAAAAGGTAGCCGCGAATGCCGACGGGCAGCGTTGGACGGCAAATTCGGAGATCCGAAATACCACACGCGACACCAAATAAATCTCGAGAAATACGTTTATTCTAACATTGTTATGTGTCCTTTAATGCGAATTAGACTCTCTCGAATAAGATTAAACGATAAAAAGCTATAGAAAGCTGTTGCATAATGCTATAGCTAACGAGAAAAAGGTAGCTGCGAATGCCGACGGGCGGCGTTGGATGACAAATTCAGAGATCCGAAATACGATACGTAAGACGTAAGACCAACTAAATCTCGAGAAATACGTTCATTTTAATATTGATATGTATTCTTTAATGCGAGGCATGCTTTCTCGAATGTGATTAGACAATAAATAATTATAAAATGCTGTTGCATAATGCCAGCCAGCGAGAAAGAGATAGAGGCGAATGCCAACGGGCGGCGTTGGACGACAAATTCGGTACTCCGAAATACCACACGCGACACCAAATAAATCTCGAGAAATACGTTTATTCTAACATTGTTATGTGTCCTTTAATGCGAATTAGACTCTCTCAAATAAGATTAAACGATAAAGGGTTATAGAAAGCTGTGGCATAATGCTAGCCAACGAGAGAGAGATAAATGCGAATGTCGGAAAGGTATTAGAAAACTCCAAAATACAATAAACTCTTTATCGTGTAATTTTATTCAAGAGAGCATAATTTGCGTTATAGAACACATAAGAATGTTAGAATAAAGATATATCTCTCGAGATTTAACCAGTGTCATTCGTCGCATTTCAGAGCTTCTATATATAATGATTTCTGACTTTCATAAAACGCTTATATCTCGGCAACCGTATATAAATGATAAAAAGATGATTAAAGAAAGACTTTGTACTTTATACTTCGCCCTCTTGGTATTATTTATCGTCTAATCACATTCGAGAGAGCATGCCTCGCATTAAAGAATACATAACAATATTAAAATGAACGTATTTCTCAAAATTTAGTTGGTCTCACGTATCGTATACGTATTTCAGAGCTCCGACTTGTCGTCCAACACGCCGCCCGTTGGCATTCGCCTCTACCTCTTTCTCGCTGGCTAGCATTATGCAACAGCAGCATTTTACAATTATTTATCATCTAATCACATTCGAGAGAGCATGCCTCGTATTAAAGAATACATAATAATATTAAAATAAACGTATTTCTCGAGATTTAGTTGGTCTCACGTATCGTATTTCGAATCTCCGAATTTGTCGTC